TCAAAGATTTAACCGTTTAATACAACCCCAAATAAAATAATAATTAAGAACAAAGGAAGAATGACTCCCAAAACCAAGGGCTCTGTCGAGATAATCCTGATCAGCACCATGCCTGCCTTGGGTGATCACCCTCTCTCGAGGCATGATCACCGCTATGCTATCGTCTGGCTATGGAGGTCACCAAGGAAGATTGGTGGGTAGACTGTGGAAAAGAACTGCAGTTGCTTGCTCACACCTTAGGTAAAGCTCTTCTCTCTTCTTCTTCCTTGCCTCCTCTTCTTTTTGTGGCTACGGCTGAATATTTATAAGGAAAAATCTCCTAGGTCTTTGCATGCTTTTGGAGTTTCCTTATTTAGCTGTTATTAATTTCCCAAGCTTAAAAAGGAAAGATGACTAGTGGCTGTCAGAACAATCAAGGCTTGCTTGCACGTGAAGTAGGTAATCCAGCTGGCATGTGACATAGGTGGTTTCGCCATACCTGCTTCAGACTTCTTCAGATAAATCTTGTCTCGGCGAGATAAATCTACTCTTGACATTCTCTTCTGTTCCTTTGACCTTTGCAACTTTTCATTATCACGACTGAAATGTTATTCCTCTATAGAATTACTTCACAAACACAACTCAAACAACCCTTTCTCCTCAGCAGCATCATTCAAGCCAAATAAATTTTGCCTAAACAAAACTTATCCACCACAGGCTAATATAACCTATATGCAACTAAATGCAACTAAAAATGCAATGCATACTTCATTTAGACGAGCAATAACTTAAGTGAAAAGACTAGAATTTGAGTCTTTTTACAGAGTTATAGATAGTTTCACTCGAAACATAAGATTTATCTCACTTGAGATAGTTTCACTTAAAACAACAGATTTTATCTCGCTTGAGATAGTTTCTCTCGAAACAAAAGATTTTTATTTCGCTTGAGATTTCACTCAAAAAAGAAGATTTTATCTCGCTTGATATAGTTTCACTCGAAACAGAAGATTTACCTCACTTGAGATTTTTTTTTAAAATAAATAATTCCCCACTAAAGGGGTTAACATTTCCTTAGCTCGATTCACAACACTTCGAATCAGAGACGCCTCACTTGAGGGATCAACATTTCAATGGAAAGTTCATAATGAGAAGAACTAGTCCGAACAGAAGAGTGAAGATTGCATATTGAGAAGAACTTGGAGCTTATAGATATTAGATGACCAAGCTGGATAAAATTGGTGCTTTATGTCTTCGCTTCATTCCCATTTCATAACAATGAGCGCAGAGGGGAAGCTGTAATCACTAATTTTATCCCAAAAATTAATTTAAAATAAAAATATATCTGTCATACCCTACTGCCATGCACCAACTCTCCCCTGCTGACACCAACCCTCCCATGCCCTACCACACGCCACCACCATGCCAACAGCTTCCTCACTAAAACCTCATCAACAATCACAAATAAATATTTGTATTATTTTACATGTAAATTGGGTTCGTATAAACCCAAAAAAAGAGCATATTGTAAAGGGGGTCTCTCTTCTTTTCTTTCCTCCACGCAAAAAAAAATCAAATTGTAAAAGGGCCTCTCTCCCCTGTGTTTTCTTTCTTTTTATCTAGAAAAAGTTTGTAACAATTCATTTCCCATTTTTAAATATCAATATAATAGTAACAAGCATATTTGAGGATATTGATTCAATTTTTCTAGCAATTTTTTTTGGGTTCTTTTTTTTAGAATAGAAGTAGAAAATGAAGAGTGGGTAGCATTTTCTAGGTCATCGAGGTTCATGTCGTCATTGTTGAGTGGCTTGCCTGAGAGACTTTGGTGTTTAGGGCTCCCTGGTGTGTCAGTTTTAGGTTTCTAGAGGAGGAGGTGAGTTAGTTTAGAGTTTTGGGGTTTATTTTTAATTAATCGACCACCAAGAGTGGTGGTCGGAGGGTTGAGGATCATCGTTGAGCGACAGTCTTAGACATTGGTTGGTTTCGGCCGAGAAAGATTAGGGGAGAGGAAGAAGAGGCTTGGATGGTTCAGTTTTCCACCGTTCGACGTCGACGTTGTTCGGAGCCAAAGAGGCCACCATGGCGGTGGCCAGTGCGCTTGGTCCTTTTTTGGATTAGCGTTGATGTGCTGAGAGGGAAAGGGAAAGAATAAAATAAAAAGGGGAAGGATTTTGGTTTTTCACGTTACTGAAAAGAATAAAAGGTGGGTGGTTAAATTTTAGGTAAATTAGGAAACAAGTCCCTAGGTTCCAAGGTACTTCATGCTTTTGTCACCCATAACTATGGATAAATCACACTTAGGTCGTAATATTTTAGGCGTAAATTTATGTTTTAGTCACTAGTTTTAGGGTTAAACCATAGTCCAGGTCCCCTATCTTTGTCGTGTTTTTGCATTTTGGTCACTAGACCTTTCGTTACTAATTTCTTATAATTTTATCATTATGTTTTGTTTTATTTTAATTTAGTCACCGTTAATTTCTTATTTAACTACTGTTATTTTAATTTTTGCATTTTGGTCACTATTTATATCTTATTTAACTACTAACTTTTATTTTCTGGCATTTTAGTCAATGTTATTTTATTTTATGCAATTTAGTCCTTGATTTATGTTTATGTTTTTTTTTTATGATCTTTTTAATTTTTTTATTGTTATTTTATTTTATTTTAAAATTAGGTTTATTAATTGTTTTGATTATTTCATAGTTTTAATTCTTAGATTTAATTCTAAATTAGATTAATAGTCGAATTGAACTTAGAATTTAGTATGACACCCTAGTTTAATTATGGACCAATTCGAGTCGAGTTTTCGCATAAGATACTCGATTACTTGAATCAATTGTTTGACTTTTAAAATTTATTAATAATTAATATTTTCTAAAAAAACTTTAAGTTTAATAATTAAGTTTTTAATTAGTCCTCAACTTTAGAAATTGTTTATTTAGGTCCTAAGCTTTTAGATCTTTTAGAAATAGATATTTTTAGATCTTGACCTTTTTAATCCTCGAATTTCGATTAGAGCCTTAATATTGACATAATTAAATAGGTTAAATAAAGCCTCCACTTCTAGTTAGACTTCAAAATAATCCTCCTAATTTAGGGAATAATTTGAGTCGGCCCTTGTGTAAATGCTCGAGGGACCATTTCGGTTATTCGATACAATAATTGGTTTAAAATTGAATAAGGTTAATATTAGAAACTACACTTCTAGGTTTATGCCTTTAGGTCATTTAATTTTCATAATTTACGGCCTTAGGTTAGAAAAAGCCTTTAATTTTCCTTAGCATAATTAGGATTAAATAAAAATTTGTTTGATTCCATTGTTTCTTAAACCTAAGGCATTGTTCACTTATTAAAGAATTAATGGTATATCTCTCGTAAGTATGCTAAAGGGGTGACTATTGGTGATTCCTGAAATAGGTCGACATCGTTTTCAAAGATCATATCATGAATTTCTAAAAACGAGGCAATATTCAGTTATTAGGCATAATAGCTTATCTCCCGCATTTACAGTTGGGAGCGAATGTTATCGGTTTAAATAAACAAATAACCTTTTCAACTTTGCATCCGTAATGATTTTCAAATAAATAAATCTCAAACTCAAATTTTTTTATTTTAAATATAGGGTAATCAACTAGGTACCAATTTTTGGGTGCTTGTGGGGTACTGATCTTTCCTCACGCGTAACTGACTCTCGAGCCCGGTTTCTAGATTTTTATAGACCCTAAAACTCAATTCTTTGATAAAAATAAAATGTTTTATTAAAATCACTTAGTTCTTATGGTGTACCAATCGCACCTTAAAATGATTAGTGGCGACTCTTCACATTTCGAAAAACATTTTCAAAGAAAAAACCCCCAAGTCTGTGTTGATCTTTCCCCGCCCGAGCGAAAAACGGTGTCAACAAGCCCCAAAGGAGCTTAAGGAAGTGAAAGTCCAACTCTAGGAGTTGTTGGATAGAGGATTTATTTGACCCAGTGTTTCACCATGGGGAGCATCATTTCTCTTTGTCAAGAAGAAAGATGGGATGTTGAGACTCTTTATTGATTACATGAAACTGAACAAGCTCACGGGTAAAAACAAATATCCTCTGTTAGGATCGATGATTTGTTTGACCAATTTCGAGGGGCTTCTATCTTTTCAAAGATAGACTTGAGGTTTGGTTCTTATAACCTAAAAGTGAAAGATTCTGATCTCCCAAAGATTGCTTTCTGTACTAGGTATGGGCATTATGAGTTTTTAGTGATGTCATTCGGGTTAACTAATGCCCCTACTGCTTTTATGGATCATATGAATCAGGTGTTTCGACCTTAATTGGACCAATTTGTAGTTGTGTTCATCGATGAAATACTAGTGTATTCTTAAATTAAAGCAGAACATGATGAGTATTTAAGGATTGTTCTACAGACTCTGAGGGAAAACAAGTTGTATGGTAAGGTAAGTAAGTGTGAGTTTTGGCTCAGCGAAGTGACTTTTCTTGGACATATCGTTTCCGTTTAGGGTATCCGGGTGGATTCGAGTAAAGTTGAGGCTATTCTGAACTGGAAGCAACCTAAAAACATATTTGAGATCCGTAGTTTCTTGGGCTTAGCTGGTTACTACCGTCGTTTTGTTGAGGGGTTTTCCATTATTACAGCTCCTCTAACGAAACTATTGAGGAAAGATGTTCCATTTGTATTGTCTAAGGACCAACGAGCTAGCTTTGATAAACTGAAGACTTTTCTAACTCAAGCCCTAGTGTTGATTCAGCCTGAGCCGGGGAAGGATTTTTCTGTCTACAGTAATGCTTCTCTCACTAGATTAGGATGTGTTTTGATGCAAGATGGGAAGGTTTTCACTTATGAGTCACATCAATTAAAGCCACATAATTGCAACTATCCAACTCACGATCTAGAGTTAGCTGTCGTGGTTTTTGCTTTGAAGATCTAGAGACTATCTCTATGGAGAAAAGTGTTACATTTATATCGATCATAAAAGTCTGAAGTATATGTTTACCCAGAAAGAAGAATTTGAGACAGCATCACATGTTGGAACTTCTGAAGGAACATGATTGTGAGATAGAGTATCATCTGGGTAAGGCCAATGTAGTGGTCGATGCCTTGAGCCATAAGGTGATATCTGATTTAAGAGATGTGTTTGCCAGCTTGAATTTGGTTAATGATGGCAGTTTAATCGTCGAGTTGCAGGTTAAACCCACTTTCCCCGAGGAGATTAAGGTAAATAGCTCCTTGATAGCTAATTGCTTCTCATTATTAAACAGGTTGAGCAGGGATCGAGTTCAGAGTATACTTTGGATCATGATGGTATTTTGTGCTTTCACAATCGTTACTGCATCCGTAAAGATGATGAGTTGAGATGGGCTATTCTACAAGAGGCTCATAGTAGTCATCATGCTATGCATCTTAGCGAGATCAAAATGTACAAGAATCTTAAGGAGCACTACTTTTGGACTGTTATGAAGAATATTTCAGATTTTGTGGCGAGGTGTCTGACTTGTTAGTAGGTTAAGGTAGACCACCAGCATCTGTCTGGATTTTTATCAAGGACGGTCCTGACATTTTAAGGGCCCTAGGCAAAATAAGAGGTAAGGGCCCTTAAAAATAACTTAAAATTCAAGAATATATTTCGGTAAACGCCAAATAAATTTTTCATTAAAAATTATATGAGTAGATTCTATTACATTACCCAACATTATTTTACCAAATATATAAAGAGACATCACAATTTTTCACTCAATTTACTCATATTATGTCTTCAATCATCTCTTAAAATCGTTTATATCAATCGAAAATTGACGCCTCTGACCTACAAAACAACATACACAAATTCTCATAAGAAACAGTTTCTTCTAGCATTTTGAGATGCAAAGTCATTGATAATAACATCAACATCAATGTTTCCTATCATCTCCTTCTCAATAGCTAATGTTGCTAAACCATTCAACCTTTCTTATGACATTGTGACCTCAAGTATGTTTTTATTAATTTAAGATTTGAGAAACTTCTTTCAGCTGAAGCTACGGTCACAGGCACAATTAATAAAATCATATAAGCAATTGAATCATTCGGATAACGATCTGCAGATTTGAAAAACTTAAGAATTTCAGTGGCGGATAACAATTATGTCGACAAAGTCATTTGTAAGACTTTCAATTCAGATAAAAGATCATCTAAGTCAACATCCAATGAATTGCCATGAGAAAAGGTAAAATGAAAATGAGCACAACATTCTTTCAACTCATTATCATCTAATAACTTTAGCTTATTTGAATCATATAAAAATCAAAAAATACTTTCAAATGTCTTCAATTGCTCAAATCTATTATTCAAAGAAGTAATTTCCATATCTACCTCAACCAAAAAATAATTGACTCCAAAAGACTCTTCATGTAATACCCCAAAAATTTAGAGTTTAAGGAATTAAGTGGTGATTTTTCCCAAAAAGAATTTTATTCCATAAATAGATAGTATACTTTTGAGAGTGGGGGTTTTATAGAAATCATATTTTGGATTTAGAATTTTAGTAAAGAAAAATTAGAAAGGGTAGAAACAGGTAAGGAATCAGTAATTTAGATCGAATTGGAATTTTATAAAAATTTGAAGGATGGTATAAAATGGTTGGAAAGATTATTTTAATATTTTAGATCAGAGAAAATTTATTTGGAAATGTGCAATTTTTCAAGGGGTTTTATAGAAATCATATTTTGGATTTGGAATTTTAATAAAGAAAAATTAGAAAGGGTAGAAGTCGGTAAGGAATCGGTAATTCAGATCGAATTGGAATTTTATAAAAATTTGAAGGATGGTATAAAATGGTTGGAAATATTATTTTAATATTTTAGATCAGAGAAAATTTGTTTAGAAATGTGCAATTTTTCTTATTTAACCGAAACATTGGAATTTAGTGACTAAAATATAGTTTTTGAAAAGTTCAAGGGAAATTTCAGAAATTAAAGTCAAATTAATTCATCTTTGACTTTGAAATATGATAAGAATGAGTTGTCATGATTTTATGGTGAATAAGAAGATTCATTAAGGGTGATTTGGTCTTATCCCAATTAAATGAATATTATATTCATTTATAGTGGAATATAGTTTAAACAAAGATGAAATGCTCTCTTCTTCTCCAAAGTTGCGTGGGTTTTCTTCAAAGGTGAGAGAAAGCTTCAACTCAATTTTCAAGCAATTTCCTTAGGATTTTGAGTATAATGTAAATAGAAAATTGTTGTATGCGAAAAACGCTATCATTTGGTACCAATATTACTTGATAATCTTGTTATTGTTCAAAGACCCCAAATTATATAGTTTGTGTTCAAATAAGGTATCATGGAATTGGTGATGAATCTTGATGTTTGTGAGGTAGTATATACATATTCAAGCATGTATGATAAAATTTGAGTATGAATATTGAGTTCTATATAGAGAAGTGGATTTTGAAGTTAAAGATGGGATAAATGAGTATTAATGAGTTTAAGCATGTGTATGTGACTTAAGAACATGAAAGGGGAAGAATCATGGAGTATTGAAGTTGAAATGAGTGAAATTTCGTGCTTAAAATTAGATTCTTAAGCAAAGTGCATCGATATACAGGTGGTGCATCGATACACCCTTCAATTAAAAAACATCAAATACAATAAGTGCATCGATTCATAGGCAGTGCATCGATGCAGGCCATAATTGTTAAGCTGGAACGGAAATGTTGTAGAAAGATTAACAATAAATATTTTTATTAATGTTGAAGTTATAATGGTTAGTAAATACACTAACAATTGGTAATATACATTTACTCAATGAATGAGAGATAGATCGAAATCAAGCTCCCGAGTCGAGTAAGGCTAAAGGTAAGGGCCAAGTCTCAGAGTAATCATTTTCCTAATCAAGATATATAAGCAAGGCGAACCAAGTGAGTGCATCAAATTATGCACGTACATGTGGTAATAGTTAAAATAGCATGATTTATTAATGTATGTATAGTGATTACCAAATGGCACTATATGTGCTAAAATGATAAGGAGATCATACTGAATGTATGAATTTCCATATGGAGCACCAAGTGTGCTAAAATGATAAGGAAATCATATTGAGTGTATGGATTCCATATGGAGCACTATATGTGCTAAAATGATAAGGAAATCATACTGAGTGTATGGATTTCCATATAGAGCACTATATGTGCTAAAATGATAAGGAAATCATACTTAGTGTATAGATTTCCATATGGAACACTGAGTGTGCTAAAATAATAAGGAAATCATATTGAATATATGGATTTCCAGATAAGGCATTATATGTGCTAAAATGGTAAGGGAATCATACTGAGTGTATGGATTTCCAAAAAAAGCACTAAGGGTGCTACAAGGATAAGGAAATCATACTAACTATATGGATTTTTATATAATGCACTTCATGTGCTAAAAATGGTAAAGGAATCATACTAATGGTATGGATTTTTGAATAGGGCACTTTGTGTGCAAAAATGAGAAGGAAATCATATTAAGTATATGATATTCCACATAGAGTACTAAGATTGCTAATATTATAAGGAAATTATACGAATTGTACAAATTTCCTATGGAATGTATGGATTCCAATAACGATTAATAAATGAGGTTAATGACATCAGTGATACAAATTATAGTAAGTATATTGGTAAAATAAGCTTACGAGCATATGAAATTATAGTAAGTATATTGGTAAAACAAGCTTACGAGCTTATGAAATTATAATAAGTATATTGGTAAAATAAGCTTACGAGCTTATGAAATTATAGTAAGTATATTGGTAAAATAAGATTACGAGCTTATGGAATAATGGTATGTATATTGGTAAAATAAACTTACGAGCTTAGGGATTTAATGGTAAGTATATTGGTAAAATAAGCTTGCGAGCTTATGGATTAAATGGTATGTATATTGATAAGAAATTTTATAGTATTTTGATCATAGTAAAATATTGGATATATTGATAACATGATTTCATGGTATTTTAATTTTGACATTGAAATGCATGAATTGTATTACATTGTTTATTGTTTTAATTGCCTCACTAAGTATATACTTAGCGTGTGATGATTTCCACACGTAGGTAAAAAGCCAGTAGTGGAATAAAGAGTTCAAGGTGACATCAAGCATCGAGGAGTATATTTCAATATCAGTAAGACATCCTATGATGAAATTTTGACTTAGATAGTGGCATGTAATTAATAATGTTCAATTTATTTTATTAAACTAATTTGGAAACAAAATGGTAAATTTATAGTGATGAAGGATTAAGTTTTTATGAGTTTTAAGTGTTTTTCAAAAAATTACTGTATCAGTGCATCGATACATATTTTATGTTCAAATTTTTGGTGCATCGGTACACTGTTTACTATTCATGGGTATTGTTCATCACTGTTGATGGTACTGTTCATACGTATAGTATTGATCATGAAAAAGTATTTTTTTTAAAAAAATTTGTTATAACAAATATAATTCATCAATATATACTAGTATTTTATTAATATAAGTTCAAATGTGTTGTGATTTTGTAAGAACATTGTTTTAAAAAGTCAATGTGATATCTCATACTCATATCTGGGTCGGGTATGGGTTGGGGTGTTACATTTAATGGTATCAGAGCTACAGGTTTAACCGATTCTAGGACTAAACCAAGGTTGTTTTGAGTAAAAAGTGTATACATGCCACTAGGATGTCAAAAGTTACTGATAGTTGTATATATAATGTGATGATGTTTATAGGGAGTAATGTTATTCTTTACTAATGTATGATGATTCTGACTATGTTTAGATGTCATAAATTAAAGAAAAAAGGTTAGAAAGTTGATAATGTTTAAAAAAAGGGTCGAGATTGAAATTGACCCAAGAGAATCTGACACGACTTCAGTATCACGCCTTAGAAGGGTTAATGTTGTTAGGGATTTTCCTTCATTCAAGTGGAAGAAATGCCCCAGCTTTCAATGACGTTTCTGAATTAGAAGAATTTATAATAAAAAAAATTAAATTGATTACAAGAAAATTCGAATCGGATGAGGATCCAGATGAGATTTCTGAATCTAGTGATGATTCTGAGGTTTTTCCAAGTAAGCTTAAATAAGTGAGAAATATTTAAGCTAAGTATTAAATTGTTTAAAGAATTGTTGATTTGAGTAAGATGAAATAAATAAGCAGTAATAAGTTATCCGTAAAAAGTTTAAATAAAGTTGAGTTATTAGTTAATCCAATGATTATGAGTTGGATTGAGAATAGATATCAAGTCCATAAAAATGGATGGGGTTACCTTGTGAAGGTAAATATGCGAAAATGGGTTTTCTAACCTTTCGTGCTATAATGAACTATTGTATAGATCGAGATTGTTTATCAAGAACTTGAAAAGTGTCATGTTCGTAGTTAGTTGAAAAATAGTAAATTTGCTTGATAGTGTGATTTTAGCATTAACTGCTATGAAGTTATTGCTACAAATTTATCAAGTTTTATTATTGCACGATATGAACATTAAGACTT